GGTGGGGAAATGGGCGGGGCCAGGGCCCCTGGAGGGTCCTCTTTTTTTATTTAATAGATATGGTAACCCTACCCTCAACCTTCTCTCCACAAGCAGTGCACATGGCCCCACTCTCCAGAAGCACTGGGGTGTGTGTGTGTGTGTGTGTATAACCCTGACCCCTCAAATTTTCCCATGTGATTTTATAGGGACAGTTCCGATATTTGAGGCTTTTCTTATACAGGCACCTATTATCCCCCACCCCCATTTTTCACACTTGCTATCTGATCACCCTACCCACCCCCTGGTTGCTGCTTCTTGACTCACACAAAGCTGATCCCATGTGACCACCTCTATCTTGCCCTGCCAGGGCCCCACAAGCCCTGCATGATACTGATCCCCCCGGCCCACCCTGCAGCGCTGACTGCTGGCGCGCCCCCACCTCTCCCTCCTGGCGCCTGGGGAACGGAAGCACCTGACAGTGACACACTACTCCCCCCACTCGACCGCCACTGGAGAGTGACGTCATGTGACCGGCCCTGGGCTCCTCTAGAAGAAGCGGCGCGGCCGGGACTTGTGAAACAAACAAGTAGCGGAGGTGGGCAGGGACAGAAGAGACACGCGCTACTGCACAAGTTAGTTGATGCTGTGGTTGCCGCGTACGGCTGGGTGCGCAAACGGCGCGGGAGGGCGGCCAGGCGCAGGGAGGGAGCTATGGCGACGTACGTGAGCGAGCTGGAGGTGGCCAAGAAGAACCTGAGCGAGGCGCTAGGCGAGAACGTGAAACAGTGAGTGCGCCCCGCTCCCCACCACCCTGTGCCCAGCCCGGCTAGGCCCGTCGAGCCCCGGCCTCGATTTCTGCCCGGTCCCGGGGCCTGCCGGCTGGTGGAGACCGCTCCTGGGCCGAGGGGCTCAGCCAGGAGCGTGTCCCAGTCGCTGGGCGCCCCGTGGCCTCGACTTTCCCTAGGGCACCAGGCAGCGCCCGGCCCCCAGGGGCTGAGATCCTGGCCTGGTGGGGACCCCTGGGGCTAGGCCCAGGCCGCGGGGCAGGGCGGGGGACCCCGACGTCGCACTTCAGGCCGCGGGAGGAGGGGGCGGAGAGCCTGGTCAGGTAATGGGTGTCCGCGGCTCCCCGCGCGGCCTGTGGGCCGGCGTTTAAGGGGAGCGGCGCCTGACAGGGGAACTAACCACGGGAACCAGCGTCACGGGGCCTGGTGGCGTCTCCGTCGCGGGCCATTTTGAAATCCCGACTGGCCGTTCGGGCTGTCAGAGCTGCCTGGGCACTGGCGTGGGGACGCTCTGCGGCCTGCGCTGGCGGGGGCTCGGGCTGGGGGATCACAGCGCTGCCTCGCAGGCTATGACTTTATTCATCTAAGCAGCGTGTTTTCGTGCGTTGACAGGAAGCGTGAGCTTTGCAGGCCCAGCTTAATAACCGTTCGTGTCCGTTTCACCCCGTGTTCGGGCCACTGGGGGCAGTAAGAGATCTGGGGAAGTGATGAAGTAGCTGCTGTCTCTTCTCCCACAGCCTATCCAGTTAAAACTCCGGATTTAGCAAAAAGCTGGCAAATGTAGCCGGAAGGGACCTGCTGACTCCGGTTTACTTTATATGAGCTGGTCTTCATGCAGAGAGGCAAGCTTTTTTCACCCTCTGGGTTTGCACTAAAACATCCTGTTCCACCATGGGAAATTGTAGGCCCTCATTTTTAACACACATGGGGCTTAACTAGGTCACTTAAGGTCTGCCTGTTTAATTAACGATGCCTCCTTTCCCCTCTGCTTAAACCAAACAGCTAGTAAGCAAAATGAGAACTGGTTGTTCTCTCTTGGTCTTTTACTTATAGTAAATTTAGAAATCTGCAAGGATTCTGTCTGAGTACAATGGACCAGTTAGTTCATGTGCCTTTGTCTATGCTAAACTTAGTTTTATATAATTGTTTTCCCATTTCCCCTGTAATAAACTTAAATAACAAATTAGAGACTTCTGTTTATAAGCAGTATAATGGAAATTGAATTGATCCAAATGGGTTCTGTCTCTGGTTCTTCCACTGGGTTATTTTGACTCTGGTCAAGTCACTTCACATCTTTGTGCCTTTATTTTCCCAACACCAAAATGGTGAAAATGATATTTCCATCCCTTGTAAAGCACTCTGTGGGAGCTAGGTAGTATTATTAATGGCAGGCATAAACTCTGTATGTTAGTGCTGCAGTTTGCTTCTAACACATTTTTTTATTAGATCACGGTGGCAGATAAGAATTTGTTGTAATAGTGCTTAAATGCTTTTA